GGCTTAACACAGTGACATCACTCACACACCTGGGGGGCTGAGAGGAGGCGGGGCTTAACACAGTGACATCACACACACACCTGTGCTCCTCACCTGCTCCTCTGGCTGTAGGACAGGATGTGGTGGTACCAGCGCAGCGCGTGGACCAGGTCAGCTGACGGGGCCCCGGACAGGGAGTCGAACACCGCCACGTCCGCCTGAGAGGGGACGTACCTGCACACAGGAAGTTATGTCAGCACACAGGAAGTGAGGTCTACACCTGGGAGAGTTACCTGTTACACTGAATAATTAATATATAAACACAGTGAGCAGGTTTCAGATCAAAGGGTGACATCACGATTCAGCCGAAAGATGGTGAGTGATCATCATCAACCTGCGCACAGGTGCACGCACGCACACCTTGGTACTAAGTTAGCATCACTAGCCTCCTGTGGAATGCTAACTAGCATTAGCTCGCTGAAAACGTTGCCCTTGTTTAATCTAATGAACAGCACTGATATGATCTTTGAACTATTAGCTGGTGTGCTTCAGATCACTGTTGAGTAACATACATTTAAAAACAGCTTCATTATAATTATTAAACGGTCGTATTAAAATTATATTTATGGCACTTTTAAAACTGCTGCTACTAGTTTCTACAGCCATGGTTGTGTACTTGATTATTTTAAGTGTTTTATTTATCATGTGTTTACCTGCTGTGACGCTGTGCCTGTCCGCGCTGCGGGACTAATAAAGGTTTTCAGATTGAAGACCGGTGACACGTCACAGCAGCTCTGTTAGCACCATGTGGCTGCTTGCTAACCACAGACACTTCTTCAGCCTGTAGACCTTCAATAACTGGGCTGAAACTAAACTCTAACTCTTAAGAGGACAGATTAAAGTCTTTGTGACTGATCCGCGGACACTTTAGAGCCCCGTGACGGTTCATTTAGTCACATTTAAACACTTTAACCCTGCTAACAGCTAACTGTTAGCTCAGCGCGGAGCCAAGATGGCTGCGTGTGTCTGCAGTTTCTCTCCCTGTGAATAAACCTTATTTCTTCCTCTCTCTGCTCCTCTCTTGTGTTTGTGTCTCACCCCTCGATGTAGCTGCGCTCCGACAGGAACCCGTTCAGCACCTTCAGCCCGGAGGCGGCTCTGAGGTCTCCGAAGCCCATAGTGAAGCAGAAGATCCGGAGGGGGGAGCAAGGAGTCGCGGAGAAGGTCCAGAAGAAAGAGGGAGGAGGCGGGAAGAGCCGCTGTTATACCCGGAGAGAAGCTCCTCCCCCCGGGGGAAGAGCCGCCTCCTGCGCGCTGTTTCTGGAGGAGGGGGGGGGTTCATATTATTAATAACACACATACCATATATACCTGTCCCTGTCTCTGAGTATTAAACACACTCTACCTGTCCCTGAGTATTAAACACACTATACCTGTCCCTGAGTATTAAACACACTCCATATATACCTGTCCCTGTCTCTGAGTATTTAGAGTATTTATTAAACACACTCTATACGTGTCCCTGCCTCAGAGTATTTAGAGTATTTATTAAACACATACTATATATACGTGTCCCTGCCTCAGAGTATTTAGAGTATTTATTAAACACATACTATATATACGTGTCCCTGCCTCAGAGTATTTAGAGTATTTATTAAACACATACTATATATACGTGTCCCTGCCTCAGAGTATTTAGAGTATTTATTAAACACATACTATATATACGTGTCCCTGTCTCAGAGTATTTAGAGTATTTATTAAACACACACTCTATACGTGTCCCTGTCTCAGAGTATTTAGAGTATTTATTAAACACACACTCTATACGTGTCCCTGTCTCAGAGTATTTAGAGTATTTATTAAACACATACTATATATACGTGTCCCTGTCTCAGAGTCTTTAGAGTATTTATTAAACACATGCTATATATACGTGTCCCTGTCTCAGAGTATTTAGAGTATTTATTAAACACATACTATATATACGTGTCCCTGCCTCAGAGTATTTAGAGTATTTATTAAACACATACTATATATACGTGTCCCTGTCTCAGAGTATTTAGAGTATTTATTAAACACACACTCTATACGTGTCCCTGTCTCAGAGTATTTCGAGTATTTATTAAACACACACTCTATACGTGTCCCTGTCTCAGAGTATTTAGAGTATTTATTAAACACATACTATATATACGTGTCCCTGTCTCAGAGTCTTTAGAGTATTTATTAAACACATACTATATATACGTGTCCCTGTCTCAGAGTATTTAGAGTATTTATTAAACACATACTATATATACGTGTCCCTGTCTCAGAGTATTTAGAGTATTTATTAAACACATACTATATATACGTGTCTCAGGTACTTTGAATATAATCTCAGGGCAGGATCTGTGGATGTAAATCAGCAGAAACTCAGGCTCAGAAATGCAGTCAGACGGGTCACATGGTCCCACGGGATGCTCTGATTGGCTGCTACTGAACACACCTGAGAGACACTGGACAGGTGAGTTTCAGTCTGTCGTTTTGAGAGAAGAAGAAGGTCCACAGAAGAAGAAGAAGAAGAATATTATTAATGGGTTTGTCTCACAGCTCCAGCGCCCCTCAGGTAAATCTCACCTGAGCCCCTCAGGTAAATCTCACCTGAGCCCCTCAGGTAGATCTCACCTGAGCCCCTCAGGTAGATCTCACCTGAGCTCTTATTACTTAATCTGCAGCGTACAACAGACTGTGATCATTTATATTGATTATATTGATTACATGTCACTTGTTAGACGCTTTTATCCAAAGTGACTTACAGACTCAGTTCTGAGGGTAATCCCCTCAGGAGCACTTTGGGGTGAAGGGTCTCAGGGACACAATGACATGCTGACTGCTGTGGGACTCGAACTTGCTATCCCCTCATTCAAAGTCCAGCACTCTATCCACTGAGCCACAGCCGCCTCTCTGAGACTTATATTGATATATATTATATATATTATATTGATTATATGTATTGTATATTGATACGTGTTAATGTGTACCTGTCCTTCCTGAGTTCAGGTGATCCTGATGGGTTTGGACTCTGCAGGTAAATCCACTCTGTTGGCCCGGCTGCTGACCGGACAGGTGAGCCTCATGTTTACACACTAAACAATAACAACTGTTGTTGTCTCCGAGGTGTAAAAGTCTTGTTGTGTCCCAGGTGATGGACACGTCTCCCACCATCGGCTTCAACGTGGGGACTCTGGATCTGGACAAGAAGACGTCTCTCACCATCTGGGACGTGGGGGGGCAGAAGAGCATGAGAGCCAACTGGAGGTAAACAACAACAACAACAACAACAACAACAGACCTAAATATATACAACAAACACGTAAACAAACCCCCCCTTCAGGTTCTACCTGGAGGACTGCCGGGCCCTGGTCTTCGTCGTGGACAGCAGCGACCCGGCTCGACTGCCTGAGGCCCAGAAGGTCCTGAAGAAGGTTCTGAGTGAGGAGAACCTCCGAGACGTTCCTCTCATGGTTCTGGCCAATAAGAAGGACCGGCCCAACTCCATGACCATCAGGGAGGTACGGAACCAGCAGAACCGCCTGCAGAACCAGCACTACATCATACAGAACCAGAACATACAGAACCAGAACCACATCATACAGAACCAGAACATACATAATCAGCACTACATCATACAGAACCAGAACTTCATCATACAGAACCAGAACTTCATCATACAGAACCATAACTACATCATACAGAACCAACACTACATCATACAGAACCAGAACATACAGAACCAGAACCACATCATACAGAACCAGCACTAAGGTTATCTCTCTGTTCTCTAGTGTTCCCTAGTGTTCTCTAAGGTTCTCTCTCTGTTCTCTAAGGTTCTCTCTCTGTTCTCTGATGTTCTCTCTCTGTTCTCTAAGGTTCTCTCTCTGTTCTCTAGTGTTCTCTAAGGTTCCCCCTCTGTCCCCAGGTCTCTCAGCAGCTGGACCTGGCTCAGTACGGGGACCGGCTGTGGGAGATCCAGGCCTGCAGCGCTGTGCAGGGTCTAGGCCTCCAGCAGGCCTTCCTGTCCGTGCACAAGCTCATCAAGAAGACCTGAAGACCTGAACACCTGAAGACCTGCAAAGACCTGAACACCTGGAGACCACATCAAGAAGACCTGAACACCTGGAGACCTGGAGACCACATCAAGAAGACCTGAACACCTGGAGACCTGAAGACCACATCAAGAAGACCTGAACACTTGGAGACCTGAAGACCACATCAAGAAGACCTGAACACCTGGGGCCTCATTTATAAACGGTACATACGCTCAAAAGATGGCGTACGCCAATTTCTAAGCAATCTTTGCGATTTATAAAAAGCAAACTTGACAGGAAAATGTGCGGTCCTCCACGCACACTCTGACCCATCCGTACGCACACTCTGACCCATCCGTACGCACACTCCGACCCATGCGTACGCACACTCCGACCCATCCGTACGCACACTCCGACCCATCCGTACGCACACTCCGACCCATCCGTACGCACACTCCGACCCATCCGTACGCACACTCCGACCCATCCGTACGCACACTTCCGACCCTCCGTACGCACACTCCGACCCATTCTGTAACGCCACACTCCGGACCCATCCGTACGCACACTCCGACCCATCTGTACGCACACTCCGACCCATCCGTACGCCGTACACACAACAACGGGAGAGAGGAGAAACTGCGACACCGTTGGCAGAAGGAAGAATGGAGAGAAATATGTGGAAATAATACCATCAATAAAATGTTACCTCTCATTTATCAAATATGAAGAATTAAAGCCAATCTTAAAATGATGAAACAAACGCCTGTTTCCTCAGCGCACACAGAAACATTGGAGAAATAAATAAATACGGAAATGTTATTGATCACCCCTCGATGATGTTCTCTAATGAGCAGGAGGACAGAATTACTTTAAACTGACGCCGTGTAGCTTTTCTCTCGGTTAGATAGATACGAGCGTGGTTTTATATACTATCACGTTTAATCATGTTCGCCGCCTACTTGATAAGTCGCTCGTAAAACACAGGACTCATGACTCCACTCCGGAGGGATTCCCCCATCATTTCTTACAGTTTCTCATCAAGGGGGGGGGGGTCTCCTGACCACTTATTTATTTATGTTGGTGACGATCCGACCTCCATGCTGCTGTTCAAACTGCATCCACCGAACAATATGATTTATCTCCACCTCCCCAAAAGAACCCAAACCTGACTCGGTGTGAGATGCGATCTCCTTCATGCAGTCAGTCAGTCAGAATGAATGAATGAATGAATGAATGGGCGTTTCTTTGACTATTTAAAGGCAAATATGGGCGTTACGTGAAGCCCGCAAAAGCTGCGCCGCATTTCGAGTTGATTGTGATTTATGAAGGGAAACCGGCGTAGGACGTGCGTGCGCAGTGTTTTATAAATCGGAATATTTTTGTGCAAATTTATTTGCTTTGTCCTACATACGCCACCCTCCCACATGAATCCGACGCAAAGCTTTATAAATGAGGCCCCTGAACACCTGAAGACCTGCAAAGACCTGAACACCTGAAGACCTGCAAAGACCTGAACACCTGAAGACCTGCAAAGACCTGAACACCTGCAAAGACCTGAACACCTGAACACCTGCAAAGCCCCCCTGTAGACCTGTAAAGCCCCCCTGTAGACCTGAAGACCTGTAAAGCCCCCTGTAGACCTGAAGGCCTGTAAAGCCCCCTGTAGACCTGAAGACCTGTAAAGCCCCCTGTAGACCTGTAAAGCCCCCTGTAGACCTGAAGACCTGTAAAGCCCCCTGTAGACCTGTAAAGCCCCCTGTAGACCTGTAGACCTGTAAAGCCCCCTGTAGACCTGTAGACCTGTAAAGCCCCCTGTAGACCTGTAGACCTGTAAAGCCCCCTGTAGACCTGTAAAGCCCCCTGAAGACCTGTAAAGCCCCCTGTAGACCTGTAAAGCCCCCTGTAGACCTGAAGACCTGTAAAGCCCCCTGTAGACCTGTAAAGCCCCCTGTAGACCTGTAAAGCCCCCTGTAGACCTGTAAAGCCCCCTGTAGACGCCCAGTAACCTAACTGTGAGTGAAGATGGAATAAAGTTGATATAATTCATGATCATCTGAAGCAGGTTTTAAATGCAGGCTGTTTTTTATATGAAGTTATTTGTATTAAAACCTTCGTAAACCCTGTTCCTGAGTCTCTGTGGGGGGTCCGGGGTAAACCAGAAGAAGACAGGGGTCAGGTTTAATGAAGTCAGTCGTTTAATGTTGATTATTACACAGCTTGAATACTGGATTGTGATTGGTCGATTGGGAGGTTGGTAATCCTCGATAATAGAACAGTGTCTACTTCCTCTTCTCCCCGTGGTCCCCTATATGCAGAGTTTTCAGACTGAACCAGGACTGGACCAGCAGCAGAACCGGGACCAGGACCCAGAGCCCGTTAAAGAACACCAGGTAGACCCACAGGTAGAGGGGGCGGGACGTGTCCAGGTGAGGACTGCCCATCAGCCAATCAGGACAGAAGGTCATCCAGCCGCCGTACAGCTCGCACACACACAGCGCCACCTGCAGGAAGTGCCTGGAACACAGGAAATAGAGTTAGAACCAGTTCTACAGGTAGACCAGTTCTACAGGTAGACCAGTTCTACAGGTAGACTAGTTCTACAGGTAGACCAGTTCTACACATAGACCAGTACTAAAGGTAGACCAGTTCTACAGGTAGATCAGTTCTAAAGGTAGACCAGTTCTACAGGTAGATCAGTTCTAAAGGTAGACCAGTTCTACAGGTAGACCAGTACTAAAGGTAGACCAGTTCTACAGGTAGACCAGTACTAAAGGTAGACCAGTACTAAAGGTAGACCAGTTCTACAGGTAGACCAGTACTAAAGGTAGACCAGTTCTACAGGTAGACCAGTACTAAAGGTAGACCAGTACTAAAGGTAGACCAGTACTAAAGGTAGACCAGCTCTGCAGGTGTGTTTCACAGGCTGCTGCTATAATGAAAAAACATCAATATTTGAGATCAAATAAAGTATATCTAATCTTATTATCTTAATTGTAATTCAATAATATTTAGTCTTTATATATTAAATAATAACAATGTTTACACTTGTTTATTTGTTGTGCTCATACTTTTACCTTTACAATAGTTTGCTTTAATGTGCAGTATATTTGTTGTAATATTGTTGTGGTGTACACAGTACAGTAGATCGAAGTAAATCAACTCATACATTATCACATATTACACAGTAATGTATTATGAAGTAATATCATACCTGATCACGTATTACACAGTAATGTATTATGAAGTAATATCATACCTGATCACGTATTACACAGTAATGTATTATGAAGTAATATCATACCTGATCACGTATTACACAGTAATGTATTATGAAGTAATATCATACATGATCACGTATTACACAGTAATGTGTTATGAAGTAATATCATGCATGATCACGTATTACACAGTAATGTGTTATGAAGTAATATCATACATTATCACGTATTACACAGTAATGTGTTATGAAGTAATATCATACATGATCACGTATTACACAGTAATGTGTTATGAAAGTAATATCATACATGATCACGTATTACACAGTAATGTGTTATGAAGTAATATCATACATGATCACGTATTACACAGTAATGTGTTATGAAGTAATATCATACATGATCACGTATTACACAGTAATGTGTTATGAAGTAATATCATACATGATCACGTATTACACAGTAATGTGTTATGAAGTAATATCATACATGATCACGTATTACACAGTAATTGTTATGAAGTAATATCATACATGATCACGTATTACACAGTAATGTTATGAAGTATATCATACATGATCACCGTATTACACAGTAATGTGTTATGAAGTAATATCATACATGATCACGATTACACATAATGTTTAATAAGTAAATATACCTGATCACTTAACAGTAATGTGTTATGAAGTAATATCATACCTGATCACGTATTACACAGTACATGTGTTATGAAGTAATATCATAACCTGATCACGTATTACACAGTAATGTGTTATGAAGTAATATCATACTGATCACGTATTACACAGTAATGTGTTATGAAGTAATATCATACATGATCACGTATTACACAGTAATGTTTATGAAGTAATATCATACATGATAACGTATTACACAGTAATATGTGTTATGAAGTAATATCATACTGATCACGTATTACACAGTAATGTGTTATGAAGTAAGTAATATCATTTACATTATCACGTATTACACAGTAATGTGTTATGAATAATATCATACATTATCACGTATTACACAGTAATGTGTTATGAAGTAATATCATACATGATCACGTATTACACAGTAATGTGTTATGAAGTAATATCATACATGATCACGTATTACACAGTAATGTGTTATGAAGTAATATCATACCTGATCACGTATTACACAGTAATGTGTTATGAAGTAATATCATACATGATCACGTATTACACAGTAATGTGTTATGAAGTAATATCATACATGATCACGTATTACACAGTAATGTGTTATGAAGTAATATCATACATTATCACGTATTACACAGTAATGTATTATGAAGTAATATCATACCTGATCACGTATTACACAGTAATGTGTTATGAAGTAATATCATACATTATCACGTATTACACAGTAATGTGTTATGAAGTAATATCATACATTATCACGTATTACACAGTAATGTGTTTATGAAGTAATATCATACATTATCACGTATTACACAGTAATGTATTATGAAGTAATATCATACATTATCACGTATTACACAGTAATGTGTTATGAAGTAATATCATACATTATCACGTATTACACAGTAATGTGTTATGAAGTAATATCATACATGATCACGTATTACACAGTAATGTATTATGAAGTAATATCATACATTATCACGTATTACACAGTAATGTGTTATGAAGTAATATCATGCATGATCACGTATTACACAGTAATGTGTTATGAAGTAATATCATACATTATCACGTATTACACAGTAATGTGTTATGAAGTAATATCATACATTATCACGTATTACACAGTAATGTGTTATGAAGTAATATCATACATGATCACGTATTACACAGTAATGTGTTATGAAGTAATATCATACATGATCACGTATTACACAGTAATGTGTTATGAAGTAATATCATACATTATCACGTATTACACAGTAATGTGTTATGAAGTAATATCATACATTATCACGTTATTAACACAGTATGTGTTATGAAGTAATATCATACATGATCACGTATTACACAGTAATGTGTTATGAAGTAATATCATACATTATCACGTATTACACAGTAATGTGTTATGAAGTAATATCATACATTATCACGTATTACACAGTAATGTGTTATGAAGTAATATCATGCATGATCACGTATTACACAGTAATGTGTTATGAAGTAATATCATGCATGATCACGTATTACACAGTAATGTGTTATGAAGTAATATCATACATGATCACGTATTACACAGTAATGTGTTATGAAGTAATATCATACATGATCACGTATTATACAGTAATGTGTTATGAAGTAATATCATACCTGATCACGTATTACACAGTAATGCATTATGAAATAATATCATACATTATCACGTATTACACAGTAATGTGTTATGAAGTAATATCATACATTATCACGTATTACACAGTAATGTGTTGATGAAGTAATATCATACATTATCACGTATTACACAGTAATGTGGTTATGAAGTAATATCATACATGATCACGTATTATACAGTAATGTGTTATGAAGTAATATCATACATGATCACGTATTACACAGTAATGTGTTATGAAGTAATATCATACATGATCACGTATTATACAGTAATGTGTTATGAAGTAATATCATACATGATCACGTATTACACAGTAATGTGTTATGAAGTAATATCATACATGATCACGTATTACACAGTAATGTGTTATGAAGTAATATCATACATGATCACGTATATATCAGTAATGTGTTATGAAGTAATATCATACAGATCACGTATTAACACAGTAATGTGTTATGAAGTAATATCATACATGATCACGTATTACACAGTAATGTTTATGAATATATCATACATGATCACGTATTATACAGTAATGTGTTATGAAGTAATATCAATACATGATCACGTATTACACAGTAATGTGTTTGAAGTAATATCATACATTATCACGTATTACACAGTAATGTGTTATGAAGTAATATCATACATTATCACGTATTACACAGTAATGTGTTATGAAGTAATATCATACATGATCACGTATTACACAGTAATGTGTTATGAAGTAATATCATACCTGATCACGTATTACACAGTAATGTGTTATGAAGTAATATCATACATGATCACGTATTATACAGTAATGTGTTATGAAGTAATATCATGCATGATCACGTATTACACAGTAATGTGTTATGAAGTAATATCATACATGATCACGTATTACACAGTAATGTGTTATGAAGTAATATCATACATGATCACGTATTACACAGTAATGTGTTATGAAGTATATCATACATTATCCGTATTACACAGTAATGTGTTATGAAGTAATATCATACATTATCACGTATTACACAGTAATGTGTTATGAAGTAATATCATACATGATCACGTATTACACAGTAATGTGTTATGAAGTAATATCATACATTATCACGTATTACACAGTAATGTGTTATGAAGTAATATCATACATGATCACGTATTACACAGTAATGTGTTATGAAGTAATATCATACATTATCACGTATTACACAGTAATGTATTATGAAGTAATATCATACATTATCACGTATTACACAGTAATGTGTTATGAAGTAATATCATACATGATCACGTATTACACAGTAATGTGTTATGAAGTAATATCATACATGATCACGTATTATACAGTAATGTGTTATGAAGTAATATCATACATTATCACGTATTACACAGTAATGTGTTATGAAGTAATATCATACATGATCACGTATTACACAGTAATGTGTTATGAAGTAATATCATACATGATCACGTATTATACAGTAATGTGTTATGAAGTAATATCATACATTATCACGTATTACACAGTAATGTGTTATGAAGTAATATCATACATGATCACGTATTACACAGTAATGTGTTATGAAGTAATATCATACATGATCATTTAATGTATTTATCAAGGGGGCGTATCAAGTCCTATGGGGGGTTTTCCTTTCAGCGAGGGCCCACCCCGTTCCGATCACTGGCCCACATGGGTAGTCCTGGTCCTACCTGTAGAACTGGTCTTGGAGCACAGCGTAGATCAGACCCAGACCCAGCAGGGAGTCCAGGACCACGGTCAGGATCTCTATGGAGACGATGTTGGGGTCAGAGGTCAGCCAGCGGCGGTCCGCCTTCCCGTACTCCTTCCCTGCCGATCAATACCTCAGATACTCATTATCAATAATAATAATAATGATAACAGTAGACTCACAGAGCTCCACCAGAGGACCCTCTGATATTAATAATGATAACAGTAGACTCACAGAGCTCCACCAGAGGACCCTCTGATATTAATAATGATAACAGTAGACTCACAGAGCTCCACCAGAGGACCCTCTGATATTAATAATGATAACAGTAGACTCACAGAGCTCCACCAGAGGACCCTCTGATATTAATAATGATAACAGTAGACTCACAGAGCTCCACCAGAGGACCCTCTGATATTAATAATGATAACAGTAGACTCACAGAGCTCCACCAGAGGACCCTCTGATATTAATAATGATGACAGTAGACTCACAGAGCTCCACCAGAGGACCCTCTGATAATAATAATGATGACAGTAGACTCACAGAGCTCCACCAGAGGACCCTCTGATAATAATAATGATAATGATAACAGTAGACTCACAGAGCTCCACCAGAGGACCCTCTGATAATAATAATGATGACAGTAGACTCACAGAGCTCCGCCAGAGGACCCTCTGATAATAATAATGATAACAGTAGACTCACAGAGCTCCACCAGAGGACCCTCTGATATTAATAATGATAACAGTAGACTCACAGAGCTCCACCAGAGGACCCTCTGATATTAATAATGATAACAGTAGACTCACAGAGCTCCACCAGAGGACCCTCTGATATTAATAATGATAATAATAACAGTAGACTCACAGAGCTCCACCAGAGGACCCTCTGATATTAATAATGATAATAATAACAGTAGACTCACAGAGCTCCGCCAGAGGACCCTCTGATATTAATAATGATAACAGTAGACTCACAGAGCTCCACCAGAGGACCCTCTGATATTAATAATGATAACAGTAGACTCACAGAGCTCCACCAGAGGACCCTCTGATATTAATAATGATAACAGTAGACTCACAGAGCTCCACCAGAGGACCCTCTGATAATAATAATAATAACAGTAGACTCACAGAGCTCCACCAGAGGACCCTCTGATAATAATAATAATAACAGTAGACTCACAGAGCTCCACCAGAGGACCCTCTGATATTAATAATGATGACAGTAGACTCACAGAGCTCCACCAGAGGACCCTCTGATATTAATAATGATAATAATAACAGTAGACTCACAGAGCTCCGCCAGAGGACCCTCTGATATTAATAATGATAACAGTAGACTCACAGAGCTCCACCAGAGGACCCTCTGATATTAATAATGATGACAGTAGACTCACAGAGCTCCACCAGAGGACCCTCTGATATTAATAATGATAATAATAACAGTAGACTCACAGAGCTCCACCAGAGGACCCTCTGATATTAATAATGATAATAATAACAGTAGACTCACAGAGCTCCGCCAGAGGACCCTCTGATATTAATAATGATAATGATAACAGTAGACTCACAGAGCTCCGCCAGAGGACCCTCTGATAATAATAATGATAACAGTAGACTCACAGAGCTCCGCCAGAGGACCCTCTGATAATAATAATGATGACAGTAGACTCACAGAGCTCCACCAGAGGACCCTCTGATATTAATAATGATGACAGTAGACTCACAGAGCTCCGCCAGAGGACCCTCTGATATTAATAATGATAATGATAACAGTAGACTCACAGAGCTCCACCAGAGGACCCTCTGATATTAATAATGATAATGATAACAGTAGACTCACAGAGCTCCGCCAGAGGACCCTCTGATAATAATAATGATGACAGTAGACTCACAGAGCTCCGCCAGAGGACCCTCTGAAGTCTCCACCGTCCGCCCCCCCACAGACATGTACACAAACGGACCCTCCTAGACACAAATCAAACATAAACATCAATAAATACTAATCAACAAACACAGAGATCCTGATTGGTCGTACCAGCGTCAGGTGGACGATGACGTCATAGAAGAGCCACAGCACCACCCACCTGTCCGGCCCTAAGCCCCGCCCCCCACACCTGTGGGTTAGCATCACAGCGGCTAGCAGCTGCAGGCTACATGCTAACAGAGACCAGAAGGAGACCAGAGACAGGCCGGAGTCCATGGCAGAGGAGGAGAAGAAGAGAAGAAGAAACTGCCGTTCTCTGCTGGAGAATCAAGACGTTAGGTCCCGCCCCCAGCCTCTCTATTGGTTGTTTTGCCTCTAAACCCCGCCCCGTCCTCCCATTGGCTGCTGAGATCAGCCCACCTCCTGGGCCCGCCCCCTTCCAGAGAGTAACCAGACTCCATTCACAGCAGATTCATAAATACTTTTATATATTCATGTTTTTATATGTTTATATAAAAACATGAATATAGATAGATAGATATATAGATAGATAGGACTTTATTGATCCCAAATTGGGAAATTGTTTTTGTTACAGCAGCATAATAGACAAGGCATTTTACAATAAAACAAAACTAACAAGAATAGAAAGAAAAATAAAATAAAATAGAAAATATACATGCAGATATTATATATACAAATATATATATATATATATATTCAAAATTCAAAAGATATGACATATGGAATATGGAGTATTAAATATTGAACAGATTATGGAGTAAAATGTACAACGTGGTTTTATTCCTAGAGAAGCTGGAGCAGAGAGTTCTCTTCCAGCCGGAGGTGAGAAGGAGGTGCAGTCTGTAGGAGAAGGAGGTGCAGTCTGTAGGAGAAGGAGGTGCAGTCTGTAGGAGAAGGAGCTGCAGTCTGTAGGAGAAGGAGCAGCAGTCTGTAGGAGAAGGAGCTGCAGTCTGTAGGAGAAGGAGCTGCAGTCTGTAGGAGAAGGAGCTGCAGTCTGTAGGAGAAGGAGGTGCAGTCTGTAGGAGAAGGAGGTGCAGTCTGTAGGAGAAGGAGCTGCAGTCTGTAGGAGAAGGAGCTGCAGTCTGTAGGAGAAGGAGGTGCAGTCTGTAGGAGAAGGAGGTGCAGTCTGTAGGAGAAGGAGGTGCAGTCTGTAGGAGAAGGAGCAGCAGTCTGTAGGAGAAGGAGCTGCAGTCTGTAGGAGAAGGAGGTGCAGTCTGTAGGAGAAGGAGCAGCAGTCTGTAGGAGAAGGAGCAGCAGTCTGTAGGAGAAGGAGGTGCAGTCTGTAGGAGAAGGAGCTGCAGTCTGTAGGAGAAGGAGGTGCAGTCTGTAGGAGAAGGAGCAGCAGTCTGTAGGAGAAGGAGGTGCAGTCTGTAGGAGAAGGAGCTGCAGTCTGTAGGAGAAGGAGCTGCAGTCTGTAGGAGAAGGAGGTGCAGTCTGTAGGAGAAGGAGCTGCAGTCTGTAGGAGAAGGAGCTGCAGTCTGTAGGAGAAGGAGGTGCTGCAGTCTGTAGGAGAAGGAGCTGCAGTCTGTAGGAGAAGGAGCAGCAGTCTGTAGGAGAAGGAGCAGCAGTCTGTAGGAGAAGGAGGTGCAGTCTGTAGGAGAAGGAGCAGCAGTCTGTAGGAGAAGGAGGTGCTGCAGTCTGTAGGAGAAGGAGCTGCAGTCTGTAGGAGAAGGAGGTGCAGTCTGTAGGAGAAGGAGCAGCAGTTTGTAGGAGAAGGAGGTTGTCAGTCTGTAGGAGAAGGAGCAGCAGTCTGTAGGAGAAGGAGCAGCAGTCTGTAGGAGAAGGAGGTGCAGTCTGTAGGAGAAGGAGGTGCAGTCTGTAGGAGAAGGAGGTGCAGTCTGTAGGAGAAGGAGGTGCAGTCTGTAGGAGAAGGAGCTGCAGTCTGTAGGAGAAGGAGCAGCAGTCTGTAGGAGAAGGAGGTGCAGTCTGTAGGAGAAGGAGGTGCAGTCTGTAGGAGAAGGAGGTGCAGTCTGTAGGAGAAGGAGGTGCAGTCTGTAGGAGAAGGAGCTGCAGTCTGTAGGAGAAGGAGCAGCAGTCTGTAGGAGAAGGAGCAGCAGTCTGTAGGAGAAGGAGGTGCAGTCTGTAGGAGAAGGAGCTGCAGTCTGTAGGAGAAGGAGCTGCAGTCTGTAGGAGAAGGAGCTGCAGTCTGTAGGAGAAGGAGCTGCAGTCTGTAGGAGAAGGAGCTGCAGTCTGTAGGAGAAGGAGCAGCAGTCTGTAGGAGAAGGAGCCACAGTCTGTAGGAGAAGGAGGTGCAGTCTGTAGGAGAAGGAGGTGCAGTCTGTAGGAGAAGGAGGTGCAGTCTGTAGGAGAAGGAGCTGCAGTCTGTAGGAGAAGGAGCAGCAGTATGTAGGAGAAGGAGCTGCAGTCTGTAGGAGAAGGAGGTGCAGTCTGTAGGAGAAGGAGCAGCAGTCTGTAGGAGAAGGAGCTGCAGTCTGTAGGAGAAGGAGCAGCAGTCTGTAGGAGAAGGAGGTGCAGTCTGTAGGAGAAGGAGCTGCAGTCTGTAGGAGAAGGAGCTGCAGTCTGTAGGAGAAGGAGCAGCAGTCTGTAGGAGAAGGAGCTGCAGTCTGTAGGAGAAGGAGCAGCAGTCTGTAGGAGAAGGAGCT